GTTATTAATTCAGGGATTTCTTTTTTCATTTCCAATCTGAGTTCCTCTATACCTTTCTGCAGCTGTTTCTTTATTTCAGAAGCCATTGATTCATTGATTTCAACTGTGTGATTCCCACTTTGTTCTGTGTTAGTGTCCTCTGTACTTGTTATGGGTGGGCTTGCGGTCTGAGATTGCATTTTGCTCCTTCTCGTTGTCATTTTGTGTAGCACTGTCTTCTGACCTTTTTTTGTAGATCTTTGGTGCAGTTATAACCTTAGCACCTACTATAAAGTTCAGGTGCAGATCTACAAAGTTTGGATTTATCCAGCTGTTCCTGGCTTGGGTCTGGCTGCTGTGCTCAGCTCCTTCCTGCTGCTGCCCATGGGAGTGAACCTGTTGTGCCTCTCTGGCAAGATGTTCTGCTCCTGGACTAGCTGGGTGGTTCTGTCCCCTACATTATCTGCAGGGATTGCAGCTGCAGGGTTTCACCCCAGGCCTGTATGCCAGGCCTGAGCTCAGTCTGGAGGGGACAAGGTAGAGTAGGGGGGAGAGGCAGCTTTCTCACACACTCACTGGGCCTGGGATAAAACTTGATCTGGGGGTTCCTGGAACCCAGCAGAAATTCCTACTCAGCAGGCTGGGTGGGGAAGGTGCTGTGGAGTGGTGATGGGCATCCCAAGGGGGTGGAAGAGGGTCTCACCCACACTGTGCCAGGGCTGTGATCAGTAGGTCCTGCTGGCGCATGGTAGTTAGAAGCTCTCCCACACACTCTCTGGGCCTGGGCTAGGACTGGGTCTGGGGATTTCTGGAATGGGGCAGAAATTCCTACTATGTGGTCAGGGTGGGGGAGGTGTTGTGGAGTGGTGGGGGTTGTCCCAAGGGGGTGGAAGAAGATCTTGTCCACGCTGCGCCTAGGCTGGGAACGGTAGGTCCCGCCAGCGCAGTATAGCCGGAAGCTCTCTCAGACACTCACCGGGCCTGGGCTAGGACTGGCCGTTTTCCTATACTTCAGTTTCCTCATCTATCAAGTGGGAATAATAAAGCACCTTTCTTACAAAGTTATTATGTTGGTGACATGTACATTTGAAAAGTGTATGGACCAAAACAATACTTAGCCTGCATCTATTGTTACTGTTAGCAAAGGAAAGATGCTAGAAGTGAGTGGCCTTGACTATCACAGGATCAAAGGAAACCAGACAAACATTAATGGGCTGAGTGAAGGCACTGTCTGTGTGCAGGGTTGAGACTCTCAGAAGCAGCAGGACACTCACAGCAGGGACTCTGTTTCTACTTCCAGGAGGAAGGGTCACTCCTAGGGAAGGGATTGAGTAACTACAGCAACAAGTAAATAAAACCACTTCTGCAGTCCCAGAATGACATAAAGCAGCAGTGCTGAACCTATGCTTTGTGTGTCACAGTGGACTTTTTGTCATCACTGAAGGCTCGAAAAGGTTCACCATCACTGACAGAACATTTTGAAAGGTTTTCACTTATTTTTTGGATGAAAATATACATTCATGTAATTATTGTGTAATGTAAAAAGGGGATTCAGAGAAAAGTTCACACTGTCCCCATCAAACACATTCAGCCTTTCTTCTTAAAAAATAGCATTAAACATTTCCCATGTATCCTTCCAAAGGTGCCCTACTGTACAAATAAAAGCTAAATGAGAATGGGTGCATGCATTAATGAATATCTTTCTGTATAAAAAATTGAGTCAAAATTAATATTTTTCAAGTTTCAATAGTAGAAACAAAAACAGTACTCTACTTCTTTTGTGTGTATAAGCAGGATGATTTCAAGGCCAGGAATTTTTTTTTTTTTTTTTTTTTGTACTTTAGAGAAGGGTCTACAGAGGGTTTAGGGTCTCACTACTAGATTAGACTCACAGTGATTCTCCTGTTCACAGCCTCCCAAGTGTTGGGATTACAGGTGCGTGTGCCACCATGCCCAGTGTCAACTGCCTCAGTGCACCTTGGAGGTAGGGCTGGCATGGCAGGCTCGGGGATTAAAATCCCGGCCCCTGTACCTGCTTGCAGGTGCTTTAATCTGCTGAACTATTTGGCCGGCCCAATGCCAGCATTAAATAAACATAATACTCACATTAAAGAGGCAAGCTAGTTTATATAACTTGGGATACCAAACATAGGAGACGATATTACATTTATTTGGATGACAGGTAATTTATACTACCTCAATAAAATAAGTGACTCTCTTTCCATTGATATAAAAATTAACTACATTTTTTCACATTCAATGCAAGTAGCACATTAATTGTTAAGTAGTGATTTCCTTATCTCCAGCATTATGAGTTATTTTGCTCCTTGGGCTCACTAGATTCTTTCTTTGCAGTATACACTCTACTGATTGTAAAGTCCCCCAGCACTGGCCTACAACCTGAGTAGAAGAGAAAAGCAAGCTATTTTGTTTACAGGAACTCTAAAATTGTCATCTTTGAGGAGCAGATAAATAAAGTTTATTTGCTATAAGGTATATGTATATATATATATATTATGCAAAAATAGACAGGAAGAAACAAGAACATTATAGAGTGAGAAAAAGGTCACTTTATGAAAATAAAACAATTAGAAATACATATCCAATCTCACAGTACCTAAAGATAAAAAGAAAACACTAATATACCAAAGGAAGAGATAAGAGTGTAATATAGATGATTTCAATGTGCTGCTATCAATACTGAGCTGAATATTTACACAGTAAATCAATAAGGAAATATTACACTCTTTTTTTTTCTTTTATTTATTTGCTACAGGGTCTTGATACATGGCTCAGACTCAGAATGATCCTCCTGTCTCAGCCTCTCCAGTGCTGGGATTACTGGTGTACCTACCACACCTAGTTTCAGTGGCAGGTACGACGCGGCCAAGGTCCTGGGGCCAGCATGGCCTGTGCTACCGGGGATCTAACTCAGGTCCTTCTACTTGCCAGGCAGGCACTTAGACTGCCGAGCTATCTGCTCAGCCCTACATTCTACTTTCACTTTGGAACAGACTGACCTAACAGACACAGTCACAATATTCCATTCAATGGCAGCAGATTCTTCTCAAGTGCACAGGAAATACTCTTTAGGATAGATGATATGGCATGCCACAAAATAATTTATCAATCAGAAATAATCTCTCACACAGCATCATGTAATATAGTAACCCTTGTTGAATTCCCATTACTTTGTTTAGTAAAATCTTGTATCATTTCTAATGCTGTTTTTTTTTTCTATTACTATTTTGTATTCTTTGAAAATAAAAATAAACAAAAATAGAAACAAAAAAAAAAAAGAAAAGAAAAACAAACGTAATTTAGCCTGAGGAAATATTGCCAATCCCCATGACTGGACTTCTTATTTTCTAGTATTTTATTTATTTAGTTTTTTCAGACAGGGTCTCACTATACAGTTTAGGCTAGCTTTGAATTTGCAGTGGTCCTCTTATCTCAATCTCCAAAGTGCTGGGATTACACTACCATGTTCAACTCTAGTTCACTATTTTATCCCTTCAGGTATCTGGATATCCCTTCTTTGAATACTCATAGAACATTGAAAATCAAAAAAATTATTGTAGTACACAGAGAGAGGATACTCTCCTCCTTAAGGTGGTCTGTGTGTGTGTGTGTGTGTGTGTGTGTGTGTGTGTGTGTGATACTGGGGATTGAACTCAGGACCCTGCATTTGCCAGGCAAGCACTTATTCTACTGAGCTAGCTCCCCGGCCCCTAAGGTATCTTTGGGTGTTCCTTCCTGACAAAATGTGGAGGGGCCTTACCTGTGGCAAATGCTTGCCGGCCACAATGATCCCATTGGGTGTGCGCTCCAGGATCTGCCACACTCGGTCATAGAAGCCAGGGGGAGTTCTATTCAGAGACCCATCGATCTGACGCCTATTCAACCAGCATCTGTAGACCAAAGGAAAATGTCTCAGAGCTGACAAGAATGTCTGTTCTGGTAGAAAGCAAGTCTTTCTGTGTAAATTCACTGTCCCAGGAGGGTAAGAAATAAAAGCCCAATCCCATCTATCTTCCATGTTACAAATGCTAGTAAATATTTCATAGTGAAAACAGAGCTTGTAGTAGGGGAAGAAATCTCTAAGACTTTAAAAAATTCAATAGATAAAATGTTATTCTCTTGTAAACTATGAGTTATTCACTATATGATCAAATGATTTTCTAATATAGAAAGTAGTTCCACTTAAAAACAAGCAGCCCAAGGAAGAAAGAAAAAGAAAACAGGAGTGACAAACATCATAATAGATTTCTATGGTTCTCACATATAATAAAACACAGGCTCTGTGCAAGCACAGAAATCAAAGATCTTCATCATTCCTATATATTGCTTGCTCAAAGGTGCTTAATATTTGATGAATGGATAAATAAATGAGTGCTCAAAAATCATTGTATATAATGAAATTACCTTATATTTAGAAACTGTTCAACTTCATAAGAGTTTGTTATTTAAATACAGATAGAGTCTCACTACTGAAAATATCAGATATAAAATTTTGTGTGTCACAATAATCAGAACATAATAATCAGAACATAGCTGATATGATGAAATTCTGGATCACTTATTTTCATGGATGAAGAGTCATAGATACAATGCACCATTCACAAACTGCTAAAGACGTAGAATTTGCATACTTTCTAAAGAACATAGTGATGTAGTTGTATACTCTCGCAAAAGCTAAAGACAGAACAGGTATGTATATTTTGCATTTGGCATTTAAAGAGGTAGTAGGGTGAAATGCACGATGCAACACAAGGGAGGTATGCCATGACCAACAATATTTCTAGGAATACAGTAAACAGGAAAGACATTTCTGATCTTGTGAAAGAGGACAAATGAAATCTGATAGTTGCATAAGAAAAAAGACATCTTTCTTCCTTTTTTCTTTTCTTTCTTTCTTTCTTTCTTTCTTTCTTTCTTTCTTTCTTTCTTTCTTTCTTGTTTTCCTCTTTTCTCTCTCTCCCCTCCCTTCCCCTCTTCCCTCCCCCCTCTCCCCTCCCCTTTTCCTTCTGCTCTCTCCCTTCTCCTCTTCTCCTCTCTTCTTCTCTCCTCCTCTCCCCTCCCCCTCCCCCCTCTCCCTCCCCCTCTCCCTCTCTCTTTTATGATGCTAGGGATTGAACTTGGGACCTTGCACATGCCAGTCAAGCACTTATGACACTGAGCTGTCTCCCTGACCCACAAGTGCGTTATTTTCTAAAGTGAAGAAGCTCAAAGGTTTAAGGCCTACTAGTAATTAATGACTACTCCATCCCCCATTGCCTGGTTTTGACAAAAACAAGAACAAAAAAGTTGTTTCCTTAAAATATAAGAGGAAATGTGAGAGTTCTCACAATGTAGGTAAGGAATTATTTTAAAATATCTTTTTCATTGTTTGCCATTTTATTTTGAAAACTTTAGATTTACTGAAGTTAGAAAGTTCACAAAGCTATTATATTCTCTTTATTCAGCTTCCCTACTCTTACGTAATTACAGCAATTTTATTGACTAGGAAATGAACATTGATAGAATAACATAAATCTATGTACCTTATTCAAATTTAATCAATTTTATCACTAATGTTTTGGTCCAGGACCCCACAATGCATTTAACTTTCATGTCTCATAGAAGGACTGCTCTAACCTGTGGACAGTTCCTCAGCCTTTCCTTACTCTTTTATGACTTTGTCATGTTAGATATATCTATGGTTTTGCAGGATTTTCTTTATTTTGGGACTGTCTGATGCTTCTTATGAAGTGACTAAAATCATGGATTTCTGGTAAGAATATCCAGAAGTAATGTATTTTTTACAGGTCATCATATAAATAGGTATACGATATTGATGCACATTACCACTGGAAGTGCTAATCTTAATCGTAGTGTCTGCTAGATCTCTCCACTGTGAAATCATGCCCCCCCTTTGCCATGAGCTATTTTAAGTACAATATTTTTAAATTATGCAAATTTTCATTCCTTATGTTACTTCCATCCTAAAATGATTCTTGTCTACAAGAATTATTACTGTTGTATTTGCCTAATAATTACTTTTATTTCCAGTATCCTAGCTATACTTATTAATTAGGATTCTGGTAAAAGTAAGAGTCCCTTCTCTTCCACTATTCAAAGCAGCATGTGCTAAGGGATATTTACTCTACGTGTTATCATCCAATACTACCATTATTTATTATGCTGCTCAAATTGTTCCAGCTATAGCCACAGGAGCTCCCTCCAGTTTTCACCAGTGTCCATCTGACACGTTTCTCATATTTTGAGATTTTCTGACTTCTGGCACAAGGTGTTCCAGGCTAATCTTATATTTTTCCTGCCCTGTTTTGAAACTAATCATTTGTCCAAAGAATACGGGTTCTGTTCATTACAGAATGGTATTTAGAAAGCAATAGCACATGCCTGTAAGGAGGAATTGCCATGAGTTTGAGGCCAACCTGGTTACACTGTAAGTTCAAGGCCAGCCTAAACTACATAGTGAGACAGTATGTCAACCAAAACAAAAGGAAATGGAACAAAACATCTAGAAAGCAATACCTGGGTACGACATTTGTTCATTACCACTGGGGCTTGATTGTCTTTAGGTAATCTCACTAGAAAGAGTTTGGAAATAATGGCTGTATATGCATACATACATATGCATACCCACAGTCACTTCTGTGTCTGTCTAAAAACCACAAATTCACATTGATATTATTAATTTCAGTCCAGCCTATGTTTTCTTCTTTCTCTATTTATAACACTGTCATTAATAGTGGAAAATCTAGTTCTTGCTCAATACATATTTACATGTCTAGAAATGTTAATCCAGACATCTGTAAGAAAAGCTTTGTTAGCCACAGTACACTATATATGTGCTGTTCCTTTTCTTTAGTCTTACTATCTCGAGTCAAAGCAAAATTTTCCAATGAGAATCTGGTTAGTTCTTTTCTTTCCCCCTCAGTGTGGTAATGCCACCCATTTGTAGTACCGCTAGGTTCTCTATTACTGCTAGGCTCACTATTACTGTCACCCTGCACGCTTCTCCTTCCTGTCCATCTGCTGCCACCACTCTCTAGTGGTGACCAAATGAACTAGTTTCCGATTTATCCTTCCTGTATTCCTTCTACACAAATGAGCAGATAAACATGATGTTTCATTATATCTCAATTATTACATGAAGAGTAGTATACTATAGAAGTTCTTTTGTATTTTACTGTTTGTACTCAGTTACATATGAGAGTGCCTGTTTGCTAGAGCCTAACAAAGTGTTTATTATACTTTGAAACTTTGGCCAGTATGAATGATGAGAAATGGTCCAATATAATTTAATTTGTACTAATTAATTATGCATTAGCTAGACTATCTTTTTAAGTATCTAAAAAGCCATTTTATATGTTTTAAATGAATTTGCTAGTCATGCTTATCTCCCATTCATATCTTGAAATTTTTGTTGCTTGTCTAAATTCTTTTTTTACCCATAATTTTATTAAGAAATAAATAGCAATGAGACAGTTTCAAATCAAATTGGTAGAATGGTTTCAATAATTAACACATTGCATACTCTCTTCCTAGTGGTTATTTGCTGTACAAGATGCAGACATGATATCCTACTTACAAACACTATTACAACAAATTCCTCTATTCATTAAGAAAATGTAACTATATATCTATCCTAACCATTTTGAATACACAGATACAAAACGGACATTCATCTGTATCCCCTTTTTTGTTTAGTTCCATCGTTTGAATATTATAGGTATGTTAACTCAGCAAAATATTCTAAAAGAGTCCAGTAGTCCATAATAGTACTGGGTCTTCCACTTCACTGGCAATGTTAGAAATTGTTGACCTGAGTCCTCTACAGCTCAACATTAACAGCATGGCTTTACTTCTTTTATTTCATTTTTATATTTTTCTGCTGGATGGTTAAGACCAAGGTAAAGCAGGACCTATGCAACAAGAGTTGTAGCTTTTGAATCTGATAAGGTCAGTCAAATCCCCTCAGGATTTATCCTGAGACCCTGTACCTCAGATTGTAGAACCTTTGTCAGTGGCAGCCATGTGGATGAGTTATGGCCATTGCTTGGCCAATGTGTGCTCTCTGTGAAAGCCTGAGAGAATGTTTTCTCTCCATGTGACTCTCCTTAGGCACACTCTACATCATCGATCACTTTCTTCTTTGGCCCCATAATCTCCTTGATCAGAAAATTTGGGACACTACTGAGTTACATGACGTTACAGTACAAATTCTCATATGTCCTGAGTCTTAATTGACCTTGGAAGGCTAGGGCCAAAATGTTGGCTTTCCTTGAGGCCCTCCTTTTTCTCTAATTTTGGTCTGCAAACTTAGGTTGTTAACCCTCCAGAAGAGAAGCTTATTGTTATTACCATACAACCTAGACTGTTAAGCTTAACCTCACTATCTGTTTGAATATCAAACATCGTAGGCATAACATGGAACAGGTATTTTTCATCAAGTGTTGATATGTTGAACTTTAAGTCCCAACAGAATGGTATGAAAAAACATTTAAAAATTTAAAATATATTTTAAAAATAGGCATAAAGAATTATATAATTCTTATGTTTACACATAAGTCCAGAAATCTAACCATATACAACCTTGTAGCAGTCTTTTATGTTGCTACAACCTTGTAGCAACATTCCTTTTCCTGTCTCCTGCTGCTCCTCTAAATTCCTAAGAACTTTTGGATACTAGCTCTCTGTGGCATATATTTTGTTCACTTCTCAACTATTTCATGACATTATCTTTTGTTACACAAAATATTGTTTTAAACTATTCCTCCATTAATATTTTCTTTTTTACCTTTTAGTTAGGTTTAAAATATGGAAGGCTTTTCCAAAACAAAGTTAAAAAGAAAACTGCCCATGTCTTCTGTTAGTACTTGAATAAATTCATTGTTTATGTTTAGATTCTGATCTATCTGGATTTGACGCTTGTGTTTGAATAAAATAACTGATTTTTCTCTTGCAAATGGCTATCCAGTTGTCTCATCACTACATAATTCAAATGTTAATCTTTGGTCCAGTGATTTGAGATGCTACCTTCTTCATATACTAACTTTAAATGGCTACTGGGGATCTACTTGTAGAGTTTCTATTATCTGAAATGGGGCCATTTATCTGTTAACACATCAATTTTATAGTGTTTTAAATGAGAATATTTTTAATGTTTATTACAGCAAATCTTCCTTTTATGTTTTCTGGTTATGTTTGCATGTGAGTTTTTCCATATGAAGTTCAGTATTAACTTGTCTAACTCAATAAAACAGCTATTGGAATATTATTATAGGTGTATTCAACAAGGTACAGTCCACAGTACAGATGCAAACTACAAGTATTTATTTTGCTCTTATCCTAAGGCTAGCACAAGTTAAGTTTAGAGAAGTGCTTAGCCCCAGTGTTTACAGTCTATTTAGGGAAAACGTCACAGCAATATACTTAGCTAATGGTAACACATCCAATCCCTTCTGCCAAAATACTGGGAGTAGATGCTAAATGCTATATATAAATGTTCAGAATGGGAATTGACCAAAGCAGTATGAAGTATTACATTTTGCATAGAATAGTAAAAATGAGGAATATCTTATAAGCCACTCCTGAAAAAAACATAAATTTCAAATTAAAACAAAATTAAAGAGACATACTTTTAATTAATCTGTTTATATTACATTCAGTAACATAGGCCCTAATACTACACTGCATTTTATTTCTTATTACTAGCTTATTAATTTCATATATCAAGCTAAAAGTTATGCTTGTACATTCAGAATGTCTTGTCAGTAATACATGCTCCTCATTACCTTCCACTCTGTTGAGGCTGCAGAATATCCAACAGAAGTTGCTTAACTTCACTAGGTGACAACTGATATAAGTCTATGGATGGCTTGTCTCTGCCACGGATCTGAAGTTCATACTCCATAGCATGGATGATCCACCTGAAATAAAATAGAGGGGGCATGAATCAATAACTCTTGAAAGAAAATCACTTTGTGCCTCTCTCAGAAATGCCCTTAACAGCACTGACCCATTCAAAGTGGTATAAAAAAACAAGGTCATTTGAATTTCCTGCACCATTGATATAATTGCTTCCATCAAGATGTGTAATATGATTAGACTCTTAAAAATGAGGCTTGAGCACACACAGTAAGTTGGAGAAAACAAAAATAGGTCAGGCTACTTAGGTTTTTACTGGATACAATTTTACCAATTCAGTATGATGGTATTCTGCACATAAATCACTGCCACAGTGTATTTTTCTCACACTAGATACATGCAAAAAATAAATGAGACATAAGTAATAGATTTAAGAAATGTCTGAGATTTGCAATTAGGTAAATATTTCTTTCCCCAGAACAAACAGGTAGTTTTTTTAAAAGGAATCTTACTAATTTCCTTTATTTTGCAGTCATCCTTTTAGGATTAGAAAAACAAAGGAGAAATACCTGCCTTTGAGATATGTGAATGCAATTAGTTATAACTTAATTATAGTACCACATAGGAGGGTATACTTTGACCATTGTATTTTAGCAAAGCTAAAATATTTTATTATTTTATGTGTATTTTTATTTTCTACTTTGAGAAACTTTTATACAGTATTTCTGCAGCTTCATCTCATTTGTTTTATGTACCATTTTCTGTAGAAACAACACAAAAAATCTGGTTATGAAAACCAAAGAAAAGTGAAAGCAAAATTGTGCCTTAGGGAACTAGAACTCTATACTAGGTAAAGACAGGGAATTCTTTTAACATAGATATTTGTTTTATCCTTAACTCCTCTGCTTGAAGAAAATCCTCTCGGCCTCTCCCCTCCCCTCTTTTCCCTTCAGAAGTGGGGCCCAGTGGAAGTCTTCTAGCTATCAGGGTGAAAGAGACAGTGGGCCATGAGGATAGGGCCCCAGCCCTTCCTCTTTTTCTCTTTTGATTCCCTGGCTGAGGTAAAGAGACTCTACTCTGCCACACAGTGTGGCCTGAATGTGCTGCCTCACAAACAGCAGATGGGTCAAAAAAATTGAACACAGGCTAAAACTATGGGCCATTATAAACTAATGTTATGTGTGGTCCTGGTTTTAGATCCTGATTCAAACATACTACCCTAAAAGAAGTTATTTTGGGGGCAAATGGAGAAATCTGAATATGAATTGAGTGTGATATTAAGGAATTATTACTTTTTTTTTTTTGCAGTACTGGGGATTGAACTCAGGATCTTGCACTTGCCAGGCAAGCACTTATTCTACTGAGCTATCTCCCTGGCCCTAAGGCATTGTTACTAATTGTGTTTGGTATGATAACTTTATTGCCTTTATTAAGAAAACATCATTTTTAAAGAGACATATGTTCACTAAAATACTCATTTTGACTTTTACAGAGATTTCTATGTTTTATCCTTAACTCCTCTGCTTGAAAGAAAATCCTCTCGGCCTTTCCCCTCCCATCTCTTCCCTTCAGAAGTGGGAAGGTAAAAGTCAAAATGTCTGGGACTTTATAATAAGACTTAGCCTATAACAACAACAAAAAAGATAAGGCTGATGCGACACGTGTATATTACTAACAGAGACATATCCATTTCAGAATAGGTATATGGGAATTTACCAAATATTTCTACTATCACATATTCAAAATTTGTCATAATGAAAAGCAAAAACAAAAGACAGACTTAAATACTAAATCCGTCAGTAACTATGTCCCATTGGCAAGTCCCATTTTTCAAATAGCAATATTGTCCATTTAATTTACTTTATAAAATTATTTTGAGGAACAAATAAGACAATGTAGATAAAAAGGCTTTTTTGAAATCTTAATGGGTCATAAATATGTTAGCATAATGGTTGTACTATTTTACATTTCTGTCAGCAGTGTAGAAGCTTTCCTTTTTCCTTTGGGCAAAAACCCAAAATATAAAGAGCAAAATAAAAGATAGATACTAGCACATGGGGAGATAGAACTTTGCCAAAGGCAAAGAGACCAAGAGACGGAGGAGGAGGGAGGAGAAGGAGGGGAAGGAATGAGAAAAAAAAATGATTATGTGTGCATGTACCAACTCCTCACCGTGAGTGTAATCATTATATACTGCAGAGATATATTAATAAAAAAACAAGAAAACATTAGCAAACTTCTATGACTTCTCAGATTCTAGTTAAAGGCATTTATTATTGAAACTTTTATTTGAAGTATTAGAGTTATCTAAGCAAATGGCACATCAAATTAATTTCAGAAGGCATTCTCTTCTAAAATAAGTAATATTTTCATATTTTAAAGGACTACTTTTCTTTAAAAAAATTTTTATTTTGAGATTGTGTCTTGCTATGGTAGTTAGTTCAAGCTGGACTTGAACTTACTATATGTAGTTCAAGCTTATAGCGAGCCCCCTGCCTCGACCTCTCAGAATCTGGAATTACAAGCATGAGACACCATCTCAGGCCTAAAAGACTTACTTTATAAAATTCTGAGTAGAAAGTAGCTGTATATCTATCCCCACTATACTATATATACATATATACATATATTTTTCACAACAAACAGTCCTTTATTTATATCCCCCTTTTTTGTTTTGTTTTGTCAGAGATGGATATTCCACTGAAAGGTTTATATTAATATTGTTTAGACAAGATATCATGTCTGCATCTTGTACTCTGAATAACTGCTACAAAGACAACAACATGCAATGTATTAATTCTTGTAACTGTCCTATTAACCTGTTTTGAAACTGTTCCATTGCTATTTTATCTTTTTTCACATTAAAATGAATAAAAAATTAAAAAAGTTCTCTAGTAATTTGAGTTATTAAAACTAAACATAGTCTATCACATTTAAATTTTAACTTTCATAGTACAACACATAAGGATACCTGGAGACCCACAAGTTTCACTTTAGAATATTTTCTATTTACAAATTCTTAGCAGCTTCATGAGCAAATTATAGAAAACACTGTACCAATAGTTACCAAAAAAAGAAGTTCACTTATTTTTTAACTCATTGGGTACAAATGAATATAATTATTTGTCACATTAATTAAAATATATTTACTCATTCAAAAACATTGGCCAAATTAATCTTTGTATACCTTAGAATTTTTTTTTTTTTTGGGAACCGGGGATTGAACTCAGGTTCTTGCGCTTGCCAAGCCAAGTGCTTATTCCACTGAGCTATCTCCCCGGTCCCTACCTTAGAATTTTTTAAGACTAAAAAAATATCAAATAGCATTAGAGGTAAGATAATAACCTAGCTGTAAAAGACTTAGAATAAATTACCAAGGAAGTAACACACGTAAAAAGTCAAACACATTTTATCTACAGTTAGGACTATCAGTGAAAAAAGGCACAGGAAAATCTGACTTTTACCCTCATTCCCACTGACAAGGTCACAAAACTTCATTTGGCAATTGTAGTATAAAATCACTTACATGCCAAAATGGGGAATTAAAGAAAAAACAGAAAGAAATGAAAAGGTCAACAGAACAAAGGTTATCTCTGGACCAGACCTTTATACATACATTTGTTCTGTCTAAAGAAACAGAAACATGCTGTATTTGTCAATAAGCAAAGGAGAAAGTGGTGGATACACATGACTAACCAAATCAACATACACATCTCAATTTGAGTTGACGCCAATGGATCCCTAGGAATACTGAGAACAATCTGGACTAGTATTCCTGTACATTCCTGGGAATAAGCTCACCATCTGAAGAACTCCCTTGTACAGTTACTGTTGTACATATGAGCTTTTTTCTTTCCAACATGTCTCAGTCAAGAAGTAAAATATACAATAAAGTGCATGGAAATCATATACTACTAGAAAAGCAGATAGCTGACATTTTCTGAAAAGAAAATGCCATAAAGAATGGCACTAAAGAATGATCCTTAAAAAAAAAAAAAGAATGATCCTTGACAAGAAGAAAAAATAATCATTTTAGTATTATTCCAAGATAGTAGGAAGGATTTACTGTTTGTTGTTAATGAATGCCTTTCTATGTAAGCATTTTACTTGGCTTTATGTTATAAATGGAACTGTCCTTAACTGCCCACCATTCCTATGTGGAACGCTTGCCCCAGTGTGATGGTGTTAAAAATCAGGGCCTTTGAAAAGTAATTAGGTATAGGAGAGGTCTTGTGGACGCCACTGCTCTGGGACTAGACTGCTTTGAAGAAGATATACCAAGAGAACGTTCTCTTTACCTTGTCCACACACATGTCTATGAAGAAGACAGCTCTCCCCAGAAATCAAAGTAACTGGCACCCTAACCTTGATTTTCCAGTTTTAGACTATGAAAAATATAATCCTGTTGTTTACGTCATCTTATTGAAGATATTCCATGATGGCACCCAAGATGATTACTAATACATCATATAACAGGAGATGAGAAACTGCCTCATTCACATTAACATGGAGAGCACTATAATCATATGAGGCAAACTAAGCTTCCAGCTTGGGCACTGGAGAACAACCTAGATGTAATAATAACTGAATAGAGGGAGGAGGATGTTCCCATCTCGCTTTCTTATTTCACATCAAATATCAAAGACTTCTGAAAAGAGTGTCAGAGTCATGCTAATGAACCTGGAGGTCTAATTGCTTTTTCTTAATGGTACAAGCAACATTATAGTGCACGTGTTTGACACCAATAGCCTTCCATAAGCACTGAATGCATGATCCACACATGCCATTTTGGGTATCAGGGGACAAGATATGGCTTGATCATAATTGCTAACAGAATGTCTTAGTAGTAGGAAAAGCAGAGATGAAAAAGTCCTGATAACATATATCCTCAGGGGTTATCTCCCACCAAAGCCTGACTGACAGACTGCTGCAGAAAGCAGCTGATTGGAGGTCTTTACAGTAATAGGCCCATCAGGAACTTGATCTATTTCAACATGAAAGCTAGTGCACAAATCAATAAAGAGACAGCAAATCAAATCATTATCAGACTAGAATACCATTC